GTAGAAATCCAGTTGAAAGTGTTCTTTTAAAAGTAAGAAGTAGAGGGCTGGGACTGTAGTTCAGAAGTAGAGTATTTGCTTAGCATTTGTGAGGTACTGGGTTCAACTCTTAGCACTACATAAAAATAAACAAATAAAATACAGGCATTCTGTCCATCTACAACTACACTTTTTTTTTTTTTAATTTTAAAGTAGGAAGTAGTAAGTGTTGGGAATTTCTGTCTTAAGTAACTGGGTTAAATACTAAAGCCTGGCCACCAGGTCCAAATTCAAAAATGAAGCATTTATTTCCCGACTGTCTCAGTGAAGAAAACCATATTTCCCAAAGTCACTGAGGGTCATCCTAGCTTCAGGTCTCTCTCCAGCATTGTGGAGGTCTTAGTGTGACCACATGGTTATTCAATTTTCCCTTTAGCTCTCTCCTACTTTCTTATCTTCCCTCTGCAGGTCTTTATCTCCCCAAAACATTCCCTAATAAAATTTCTGCACACTACTGTCATCTCAGAGTCTGCTTCTCAGGAAACCTAATCTTCAAGAATAACTGAGATGAACAAGTGTCTCAGGCAGATGGCACTCAAGAATTCAAACACTGCCATTGTATTTGTCTCCAAACATCCTCATCCCTTTTCCTTCCTTAACTATTGATTCTCATTCTGTTTGTGTTAACAATTGTTTTTTTCCTGGTACTGGGGATTGAACCCAGAGGCACTTTACCACTGAGCCACATCCCAGCCCTATTTTATATTTTATTTAGAGAGAGAGGGTCTCACTGAGTTTCTTAGGGCCTCGATAAATTGCTGAGGCTGGCCTTGAACTTGCAATCACTGGGATTACAGGTGTGCACCACTGCACACAGCTTGGTGAGTGTATCTGATGTTCACTACTGTCTAGCTTAACACTAACAGTTTAGGATACAATGGAAATCAAAGTGACTGGGAGAAAGTAAGCCTTAGCTACTGCTTGAAGTTCAAGTTTCTTCATCTCCTTGTCTAGTCAATGCCAGTCAATGCATCCTGTTGTTCCTTTATAAACCTTCCTGCCTTTCTAAGAGCAGAGCACAGTACATTTTTCTTACACAGTGTTCTCAAAAGGGAAGTTACTTTCCAAAGAAAGATTTTCCTCTTCATTGCAACTGATCTCTCTTCTTCCACCTGTGAACCAATTGAGCTTCTTAAGACTCCCAGGAAATCACTGCTCGCAGCCCTGTGATAACATTCATGAAAGAAAAAAAAGCCATCGGAGGGAATGGTTGATTACCCATGAAAAAGAACCTTTCTTTTTTGAAGTTTCTTCTGAAATTGCAGAGGACAGGAAATGGAGTGGGAAAAATGTTTAGGAAATAGTTTATTTATTTATTTAGTTTTGTGCTGGGGATTGAACCCAAGTGCGCTTAACCACAGAGCCACATCCTAAGCCCTTTTTTATATTTTATTTAGAGACAGTGTCTCGCTGAGTTGCTTAGGACCTCCATAAGTTGCCGAGGCTGGCTTGGAACTCAGGATCCTCCTGCCTCACCCTCCTGAGCTGAAGAAATAGGTTTATATATATATATATATATATATAAAATAGGGAACACTATTTCCTACTATTACATGGTCTTGTTCTTGTTGTTTTCTCCAAATAATATAAGCTTCAGAAGGTAGATGAAAAACTGTGGGAAAAGCTTGAATATTTAGATAGGACAAAGAAAGATGAGCCATTAGGCAGGGACACAGAAGAAAAAAAAAAAAAAAAACAAGAAGCGGTACTAAAGAGAAGACTTCATTTTATTTCAAAGAGCTGGTGGAAGGGCAGTCATCCCTGTAGAGGAGTTTGAGAATGGCAGAAGATGAGTTTGGAGAACAGATTTTTAAGGGGGTTTATTGCTCTTTAGGCATATATGCCTCAATTCTTAAATTACATGAGAAAATGAGTACACATCTGAATCATTTTTGTTTCAAAGTCCAGTTAGAAGAACAGAAACCACTGTATTTCAACAGAGGGAATTTCATACCAGGAAATTGTTGTATGCATGATGGAAAAATGGAGAATCCCAACAGGGCATGCAGGGGCAACATTAAGATAAATAACAGGAAATGGTTACCACCCTCAGGGTTAGAGGGGAACTTCAAGGAGGCGGGAGGCAATGAAACTCCAGCTCAACAGCCAGGACCTTTGGCAAGATCCAGAACTACTATGGTTACTGGCCAGCAGGAGCTTTTGGCACAGAGGGAGGGACTGACTGGTGGGAGCTGGAGGCTCAGTGGAAATGCAGCCACTTGAAATGGAAGCTATGAGAAGCAGCATTCTGGCTTCTCCCAGGCTCCCTCTCCTCCAGTTTAGCTAAACATACCAGAAGTCAGAGGGCCAACGAAGCTGCCAAATACAATTCTCTCTGAAACACAGCAGGGCAGGGAAAAGGTCAGGAATAAATGAGAGCAAAGAAGCAAATAACTGGCACACGTTTCCACTGTATTTCTTTGAATTCGTCTCTTTGTGGAATGGAACCAGGACAGCTTCCCTTTATGTGGTTTATCCGTGCTCCAAGACCAATAGAGAAGGTCAGAGTTGAATATCTTTTACTGAACATTACAAAGTGAAAAACAATACTACTTTGCTACTTGTCAATTCCAGAAGCTGGTCCAATTCCCTTCCACTCCTCCAATTTCTTCCCCCCCCCACCGGGGAAGGGGGATATTGGGGATTAAACTCAGGGGCACTCAACCACTGAGCCACATCCTCAGCCCTATTTTGATTTTTTTTTAGGGACAGGGTCTCACTGAGTTGCTGAGGCTAGCTTCGAACTCATGATCCTCCTGCCTCAGCCTCCTGAGCTGCTGGGATTACAGGTGTGCACCAAACACCTGGCCAATTTCTTTTTAAAATCTCCCTATTAGCTGTAGGTGCTGTACAACCATCTTTGTGCAATTAGTTAACTATGATCTTGTAGTGGAAGTTACCATACTACCTTTTTCTTTTTTTTTTGTTGGTACTAGGGTTTGAACCCAGGCACACTTTACCACCAAGCTACATCCCCCAACCCCCTGAAACCTCTGCCCAGTCCTTTCTATTTTTTATTTTGATAGAGGGTCTAGCTAAGCCACTGAGGTTGGCCTCGAACTTGTGATCTTCCTGCCTCAGCCTCCCAAGTCACTGAGATTATAGGCGTGTGCCGTCATACCCAGCACCATCCTACCCTCCTGTCTCTTTCCTGTCTTAAGGACTGGGTAGCAGCTGAGAGTGGATTGCTACATCTTGCTTTGGCATCTACCATATCTGACATACCTTAGTTCTGACTATGTTTGTACATTTAGCACAGGGGATACCATATTTGCCATGGTAGATGATTGTCACTGAACATTTTGTTATATTTTCATTTCCTGTATTTGCAGATGGAGTGATTTAGGGTGGGTTTAATACAGGATTTTTTTTTCTGGTATTATGGTTAAAAGTATAGACTTTGAAGCCACATTGTTTAGGTTTCAAATCCCAACTTCCACTATTTCCTGGTTATATGACTATGGCCAAGCAACCTAACTACTCAGGGTCTTGGTTTTCTCATGTGTAAATACAATTATAAGAATAGAACCTATTTCATAGGGATTGAGTTGCAAGAATCAAATGAATTGATGTACATGTGTGAGCATATGTGTCTGTGTGTATACACAAATATATTTACATGCACATTTCAAATCATAGATACATGCATGTGTGTGTGTGTGTGTGTGTGTGTGTGTATGTGTGATAGAAAACTGGCACATTCTACAAGTATAAGTCACCAGCCTGGTCCTGTAGCACAAGTCTGTAATCCCACCAATTTGGGAGGCTGAGAGAATTTGAGGCCAGCCTTGGCAATTTAGAAAGAACTTTCTCAAAAAAAAAAAAAAAAAAAAAAAGAGCATGAGAAGAAGATCACCATTAAGCGGGGATGAGAAGTGGGAGGGAAAGGGAGAGAGAAGGGGAATTGCATGGAAGATGGAAGGAGACCCTCATTGTTATACAAAATTACATAGAAGAGGATGTGAGGGGAAAGGGGGGGAAAGAGAGAAATGCGTTACAGTAGATGGGGTAGAGAGAGATGATGGGAGGGGAGGGGAGGGGGGATAGGAAGGGGATAGGAAAGGTAGCAGAATACAACAATTACTAATAGGGCATTATGTATAAACGTGGAAGTATAACCAATGTGATCCTGCAATCTGTACACATGGTAAAAATGGGAGTTCATAACCCACTTGAATCAAATGTATGAAATATGATATGTCAAAAGCATTGTAATGTTTTGAGCAACCAAAAACAAAAGGTGGGGGGGTGGGTTGCTGGGGATGTGGCTCATGGTAGAGCACCTCTGGACTCAATCCCCAGTACCTCCCTGCAAAAGTTATAAATATCAAGCATCATTATTGTTACTTTTTTCAAAGAGGCTGTAAATGCCCTCTTTTTTCAAAGAGCCAGTCAAGCCAGGTGCAGTGGTATATGCCTGTAATTCCAGTGACTCAGGAAGCTGAGGCAGGAGGATGACAAGTTTGAGGCCAGCCTCAGCAACTTAGTGAGACTGTCTCTCAAAAGTTTTTAAAAAGAGGGGCTGGAGATGTGGCTCAGTGGTAGAGCGTCCCTGGGTTCCATCACCAGTACAGGCCCAAACATTTTTTTAAAAAAAGAAAGAAAGAAAAGAAATTACACTTGTGTTGTGGCTACCAAGAAATGGTTAGTCGAGTGACTTGAAAATTTCAAGCAAATAACTGCTTAGTAAAATGTGAGTTCATGCTGTAAAACACATCCTATGAATTGTACTATTTGTCTCTCAATTATAGAAATTGGTTTCATTTTATAACATGCTTAGTTGTTATTGGATCTTTAGAGCCGTATCATCTGTACTTTTTGTGGTTTAAAGATTTAAATTTGTTATGGAAACAGGCTTTTCAGTTGACCAATGATTAGCTAATTTCTGATAGCACAAAAGGAAATATATTGCCCCAAGCCTGCTGTTTTCATTTCCTCATGGGGAGAAGCAGCACAGTATAGAAAAAAGGCAGACACAACATACTGAACCTCTGTCACCATGGGGAACTGGGCTGTCAACGAGGGGCTCTCCATCTTTGTCATTGTAAGTACCAACAAGAGATTAATTATGAATGCTCTGACATGTTTGTGTTCTCTTGGAAGCTAAAATAGAACAACATTGTTTTGTTTCTTTGATAAATTGATTGAGTGTGGGAACAAATGTCTATCCTTAGAAGTACTGAGTTCATTTTCCAAATTCTTTAGTAGAAAGAATGTATCTCGGGTGCTCATTTCTCCTGGGTTATTTCTGAGTTCTTAGGAGTACTGTTTGCCAGCATTTCAGAGAGTGTAAAAGAGAGTTCCTGCTAATGATCCTTCATTCTTAGTGTTTATTCATTACTCAGAGGCAAATGTTCCTACTTTCTGTGTTTAAACTACTTAAAAATGGCCAATGGAAATTTTGTACCATTTTTGCAATAGAAGAATGGCACATGTATGAGAAATTGGCCTTTACTTCAGTAATGGTACTGAACCCAAAGTTCTCAAATTTCTTTTTAAAAATAAGTACCTTCTTTTTCTCCTGTGGTCTAAACTTGAGTTATTTATAAAGTTAACTAAAATTCAAGAGAAAATAATTGAAATAAATTGTCTATACTCACATATATAGCGTGTATATATAATAAACTATATATATATATATATATATATATATATATATATCTGTATAAACTCTTTGGAGACACAATTTTTGTAAGTAGAGATATGACTAATTTCCAAGTAGATGTTGATTTCTTTCTTTTCTTTTTCTTTTTTACAAAGACTACAACTATATCTTAGATGGTGGTCTCAGCAAAGCAGTAATGGACAAATTGGGTAGAAAGAAATGTGATTTCTAAATTTCCTTTTTGAATAGCTGATAGAGGCATGATGTTAAAAAAGGAACACTTATGAATGGAACTTTTGTTAAGAATTTATCACAAAATCTATGGACTCTGAATTTTAGAGATACAAAAATAATTAGAGGCACAAATAAAATATAGCAACAAATATTTTGTTATTAAGACTATGTTTTGTAGCACATGTGTGTGTTTCTTTAACTTGTGGATAAAGACTTGTAGACAGGTGCAACAAATAAATCCTTGGCCCAGTTTAGCGGTGCACACCTGTAATCCCAGCAGCTTGAGAAGCTGAGACAGGAGGACCCCCAAGTTCAAAGCCAGCCTCAGCAACTTATCGAGGCCCTAAGCAACTTAGGAAGACGCTATCTCAAAATAAAAAAAAAAAAAAAATAAAGAGGACTTGAGATGTGGTTCAGTGGTGAAGCACCCCGGGGTTCCAATCCCTGGTACCAAAAAAAAAAAAAAAAAAAAAAAAAAAAAACTAATCTTTTGCAACCCAGAACTCATTGTTCAGGGTGAGCTTTGGTACATATAAGAAGAAATATTGTAAAACCCAAGACAGCTTAAAGTGACGAGGGTATTGCTAATCATTAAGGTTGGTTCCAAGACTAAGAGTTGATAATAAAAAAGCATAGGTCACGAGAGAAATCTCAGGTATATCATTACTCCAATTTTCATGTTGTGACATATAAAGATAGCTTTAGAAATTATATTTTATGTCAAACCAACATTTTAATACAATATCGAACTCTGCAGATTTGAAACTGTAAACCTGACTTCTTATCACCATTTTAAGAGCAGGGTACTCTTAGAGAAAACAAGTTGAAATTGTACTTTTAGCTTTCTCTATAATTTTCCCCAGGAAGTGACCGCCTTTGAAATTATGTGCTCATGTACTTGAAAGTGAAGGCACTGTTTAGAAAGCCAGAGTTGGGAAGAATGACAAAGTCAGGAAATGGAAAAGTTGCTTTTGCACCTTCTTCTTTGTAAAGTAAGATTGTTCTCAAGCATATATGGACACTTAGTAGTCAATATTAAGAATAAATAGTTTGTTTTTTTCCCCTGTGGTACTGGGGATTGTACCCAGGGGTGTTCTACCACTGAGCCATGTCCCCAATTCTTTTTTAAAATTTTTAATTTAATTTAATTAATTTATTTTTTGGTGATTAAATCCAGGGGTACTCTACCACTGAGCCACTTCTCCAGCCCTTTTTATTTTTATTTTTTTTAACTTTGAGACAGTCTTACTTAAGATCTTCCTGTCTCAGCCTCCTGAGTCACTGGGATTACAAGTGTGCACCACCTGGCTAATAACTAGTAATTTAATAGTTAAGAAAAGATCATGATGGAGCTGAAGGTAGATAACTAGGTAGTGTCACCAACTAATAAACTCAATTTGGGGTACGAAAAAATAGGTCACAAACTAGAAAGCTTTCTTTGCTTTTAAATCTCATGTCTCTTACCCCTTGCTCATGATCTCTATTTCCTCCTTTAAAAGTTAAGTAAAACTTACCAAGTAGAATAGAAGTCTTGGCATCTTAGCTGATGAGACTCCCTCTAGTTGGGGTACAATGCAGTGTGGTGCAGAGAGGTGACTGGCACCTGTGAGAGCAGAACACAATGTCCCACTGACAGGGGGATGGCAACAGTAACGTATTTCCTTCCATTGTTATTTGCCAGTCAACCCCTGCTATCTATCTAAGTTTAAGAAGAAAAGAGGTGGGCCTGGTGCAGTGCTGCATACCTGTAATCCCAGTGGCTAGAGAGGCTGAGGCAGGAGGATCACAAGTTCAAAGCCAGCCTCAGCAATTTAGCAAGGTTCTAAGCAACTCAGTGAGACCCAGCCTCTAAATAAATACAAAATAGGGCTAGAGATGTGGGTTAGTGCTTGAGTACCCCATTGTTCAATTCCTGGTGCCCATCCCCCATAAAAAAGAAGAAGAAGAAAAGAAGTGGAAAAAAGAAGGGAGGACAGATGGATAATTTGGCATACTGTCCAAGTAGTAAAACAATCATGGGGAGCAATGTAGGGTGCAAAGGTTAATTTCAGACTCTCTTGTGGGCTTTAAGCTGGTTTCCCCTAGCTTTGTAACCATCTTTGTCAAATGCTGGACTTGGGGAAGTCCTGACCTTCGTCTGACTCTGATCTTTTGTGGAATCTACCTATTGAGACAGGAGAAATTCAAGTGACTTTTTCTGTTTGTGCAGCTGGTGTGGCTGGGGATGAACATCTTCCTCTTTGTCTGGTACTACAGAGTTTATGACAATGGAGAAAAGTACTATTACACTCGAAAACTTCTTGGGGTGAGTATAATATCTGTCTTGTGCAATATTGACCAGTTCACATTTCTAGTCAGACATTCTTATTTTTATTTCCTTTAATGTTTAAAAAATATATATTCTGACCAATCCAAACATCACCATCAGCCTCGCTCCCTCCATTGGAACTTCTTGGGCAAGAGTCTCTTAATGCTTCTGTCAGTGTGACAAATGAGGATGTGGTAAAGGGTCCCAGCAGCAGCCTTTCCCTCCCAAGAACCATGGTACCATGGGAGGCCAGGTTGAAGCCATCCATCTAGGGATGATGCATGTAAGACAAGTGAGATTTTCCATATTTTCCAAGTCATCTGGTTCCTACCACTTTTGTGTATAGAGAATCCTGCTCCTGGTGACATGTGATGAAGTGGCCTTCAGAAAAATCAGCCTCTGTCTACACCAGGAAACTTTGAGGAACTTGCTTTAGTGTCCCATTTCTTCAGTAGGCCAGCGAGTGAGGCCCTTGAGTTTCCTTGGGTCCTTTAGAAAGCTCAGTTTCCTTGAACTGTCCGACCTCTTTATCAAGAATGAAAGTAATTATTATTGTGCCTGCTCCCAGAACACATCATTTGTTATTTAATGATGAAACTATCAATTAATTAATTAGTATTCAGTATATTATAAATCACATGTATAAATACTTATAAAACACAATTTGCTACATTATTATAATTGCTTTAAACTTATTCACATTGATGCTTTCTTCCTCCAAAATATGAAACAACTTCCTTTTTTTGTGGGGGAAAATATTGAGGATTGAACCTAGGGGCACTCTACCATGGAACAACATCCCCAGTCAGTTACTTGGTACTTGGTTTTGAACCCAGTGATGCTTAAACACTGAGCCACTTTTTTGTTTTTTTATTTTGAGATAGGGTCTGGCTGAGTTGCTTAGGGCCTAAGTTGCTGAGGCTGGCTTTGAACTTGTGATCCTCCTACCTCAGCCTCCCAGATCTGCTGGGATTACAGGTGTGTGCCACCGTGCCTGGCTATTTGTTTATTTTTGAGACAGAGTCTTGCTAAATTGCCCAGGCTGGCCTAGAACTTGTGATCCTTCTGCTCAACCTCCCAAGTAGTTGGAATTACTAACCTGTGCCACTGTGCCTGGTTGTAACTTCTTTAAACATTATAAAGCTAATGATTATGCTGAAACATCATACCAAAGCAACTTCAGTTATTGTTGAAATCTAAGTGCTATGAAAGTCCTGTTTAAAAATTTTAAAAGGTTCAGTTTTATATCTAGTGTGGTGGTGCACACCTGTAATCCCAGCAACTTGGGAGGCTAAAACAGGAGGATGGCAAGTTCAAGGCCAGCCTCAACAATTTAGCGAGGCCCTAAGCAAGTTAGCAAGAGGTTGTCTCAAAATAAAAATAAAAAGGGCTGGTGATGTGGCTTAATGACTAAGAGCCTCTGGGTTCAATCCCTGGTACCAAGAAAAAAAAAAAAAGCATTGTAAAATGTAAAATGTAAAAGGTGCAATCTGGGAGGTGAATAAACAAGTATTCAGAGTAAATTTTGACCACTTTATTATTTTTCATAATAAAACGTTGGGTTGGGTAAGAGACCAGTTTAAGATTAAAACAAAGGGTCCTTGCAGGCCCTAAAAGAAAATCCTTTGGTCTGAAGGACCTTCCTTTCCAGATCTCTTGGAGCTCTGGTGTGGCGTCATGCGGGGAATCCTGGGGAAGTGGGGGTGGGGCGTCCTGTGCTCCTAGGAGTCACTCTGCTCTCTTCTGCCTCTTCCAGTCGGCTTTGGCCTTGGCCAGGGCCCCTGCAGCCTGCCTGAATTTCAACTGCATGCTGATCCTGCTGCCTGTCTGCAGAAATCTGCTCTCCTTCCTCAGGGGTTCCAGTGCGGTAAGAGCAAACACTCTACTGAGCTCCTGGAATTTTCAAAGCCATCATGCAAAATGCCCTTTCTTAGGAACAGCAAACCACTGGTCTGTGAGGCTTCCAGGTTCTATAGAATATTCATGAGCCAATCCATGTCCATTTTTTGTTTTTTGATTTGTTTTGTTTTCCTATGCTATTTGTGGATGGAACTCCCTAAGGCAACCATTTCACCCTGAAAAGAGATTTTAAAAAAGCAACCAACTAAACTGTATCTCAACAACAGCAATGAAGTAAGCACACGTGTGTATGTGCACACACATACACACATACATATATACACATATACATATAATATGTATATAAATACATATAATATGTATGTATATATAAATAGGGCTTTATGATGCTGTCATGTGATATTTGGGAAATAATCTTTCAGTGTCATTCCAAAAAATTTAAGTCAGAGAAAATATATTTGTGTATAACATCCTAAGCAGATGGAGTCCATGGGCAAAGAGTCACATTACAATGAAATGTGACTAAGAATCATTGAGTCCATGGAATGCTGGAATTAAGGAGTACAGAGCTTTCTAAATGTCCAGGGCTCCTTTCACTTTCATGCCAACACTTTAGTGGCCTCTAAATGTACTCCATTAAAAGGCAAAAAAAAAAAAAAAAAAAAAAAAAACAGTGGGAAGAATATTTGTAACTGACAACAATTTCTTACTAGGTAAGAATCAATGAATTTATCATCTGTACATATACTCAAAAAGTATGTTACAAAGCACAATTTGATTGGTTATAAATAACGAATTATGAGGAGTCCGGTGCAGTGGTGCATGCCTGTAATCTTGGTGACTCAGGAGGCTGAGGCAGGAGGATCACAAATTCAAAGTCAGCCCCAGCAATGTAGGCCCTCAGCAATTTAGGGAGACCCTGTTTCAAAATAAAAAGTTAAAAGGGCTGGGATGTGTGACAGTGGTAAAGCACCCTGTGTTCAATCCCAAGTACCAAACCAAATCAAACAAAAGAATCTACAGGGACCAGGGAAAAGAATTGCCTGTAATCCCAGCAATTCTGGAGACTGAGTCAGGAGGATCACGAGTTCAGTGAGTCTCAGCTACTTAGTGAAGCCTGTCTCAAAATAAAAAATAAAAAAGAAAGGGCTGGGGATGTGGCTCAGTGTTTAAGCAGCCCTGCGTTCAATCCTTGGTACCTTCAATCCCCCCAAAAAAGACCTATAGGGGATCAATGGACAGAGAAATTCTATAAGGTGGCCAAGGAATGAAGAAAGGTCACATTAGAAATGGGCATATGAGGGTCAATAAACACTTCGGAGGTGTAAATGAGAGACAAAGACATTCTACATGGAGAAAATGGTAAGAGCAAAAGAGCAGAAAATGGTGAGGAAATCTTATTCTTGTAAATCCTGTCCAGCAAGATGTGTGGTTTTGCTTTGGATTCTTTTGCTATTCCTGACCATAACAAGGAAGGTAGTTGGGAAAATTAGGAATCGGAGCCTAGGTAGGACTATTAGTGACTAGCAGCCTTGGTTTTTCCTTTTAACAAAATGTATGTGTTTATATCAACAAGCTTTCAAAAAATACTTATTAAATTGAAATTTAAAAAAATAAAAAATACTTATTGAGATCATTAATGGAGGAGAGCGGCAAGCAAAGTACTTTTATGGGAATGGAGGATCACACAGGGCAGGTGTGTGAGGCAAGGCTGGAGAGGAAAACTGGGATTTTACTGAACCAGAATTTAAAATATCCAGCTGAGGAGTGATTACTTCATTTAGCAATCACAGAATATTTGGAGGGAGAAAGGCAAACTAAATTGTCAATAACAAGTTTAATTTGCCTTAAATTTTGCCTGCTTTTCCCTAGTTATATTAAATTCACATTGATCCAAAGAAAAAAATTCTTTAAGAACCTATAACACCTAATTTATTAAGACAGATTAAGTAGGTACAAATTATTTTACCTCTTTACAAAATGCCATATCATCTGAGGTACTGAGTATAGAAAGAGGAATAAAGTTCAATGGGAATTTTTTTTTAAATGCCATACCATCTTAAACCTACTACCCAAATTGAACTCTTCCAAGTCTAAATTAAAATAAGAGTTGGGCTGGGACCAGTGACACAAGCCTGTAGTCCCAGAAGCTTGGGAGTCTGAGGCAGGAGGATCATGAGTTCAAAGCCAGCCTCAGCAACTTAGCAAGGCCATAGCAACCTAGTGAGACCCTGTCTCAAAATAGAAAATAAAAAGGGCTGAGGATGAGGCTCAGTGGTTAGGTACCCCTGGGTTCAATCCCTGGCACCAAAAAAAATAAAATAAAATAAGAGTTGGGGAATGGAAATGAAGCTCAGCAGTACAGCACATGCTTAGCATGTGAGAGGCCCTGGGTTCCATCCCCAGCATTGCAAATAAATAAATAGATCAATAAGTGGCAAAAAATAAATCTAATATCTTCATCTTTGTTTCAGTGGAACAAGAACAATAAAGACAAAAAGAAAGAATGTTGGCAGACATTTATTTATTTATTTATTTATTTATTTGTTTGTTTGTTTATTTATTTATTTTGTGGTGCTGGGGATTGAACCCAGGCAGCGTCTTGTGCATGTGAGGTAATCACTCTACCAACTGAGCTATGTCCCCAGCCCTATGGCAAACATTTCAAGATGCTCCAGAAAGAATCATGACTTTTTCCTCTGGAGAATACTGTGAAGAAGTTCCTTTATTTAAGTCACAAACTCTATGTGGCACCATGTTGTCTTGCAAACTGACTTCCAAACAAAATCCCCAATTAACAATAACATTAGTCATTGATTACAAGGATTTTCAAACCACCTCTTGAAACCACAGACTTGAAATTCCACTGGCTTGAAAGTCGACCGGTGAACCACCTACCAACATCTACAGTGTTCCATATAGAGTAGATGCCCCATGAACATTCGCCGAATGAAGTCCATGGCCTGTAGATTTTTGTTTCTACAGAGACAAAATTCTTTTTCATTTTCCCTACCCCCATTCGAATACTTTCTATTTAGAGGAAGTAAAATCTGAGAAACAGGAAGTGTTTTCACCAGGATGACCAAGTTAAGAAATCTTGATTACCCCACAACCTCAAATTGCACTGCCGTTGAGCATGTCCCATGTCCCATGACAGCACATGTTGTAATGGCAGCTTTTAGGCTTCTTGTAGCTTGGAAGTGAAGATCTTAGTGAGGATCTCCCAAGACAGGGGTGAAATGAGCTGCTCTTCAAATTGCAGGGAGGGTCATCTCTGTAACCAGATAGATACTTTATCTAAGTATATAAAAGAATATATATATTTTAAGTAGCAACAAGCAGCATTTGGTTGAGCATGTCCTTCCTTCCACAATTTCCTACCTGCAATGCAAACTTTGCACCTGAAACTTTACAGATTGGGATTAAAATGAGTGAGTACAACCAGATGCATTGGCACATACCTATAATCCCAGGACTCAGGAGGCTGAGGCAGGAGGATTGCAAGTTCAAGGCCAGCCTCAGCAACTTAGCAAGACCCTAAGCAATTTAGTGAGACCTTGTCTCAAAATTTAAAATATAAAGGTCTGAGGATGTGGCTCAGTGGCAAAGTGTCCTTGGGTTCAATAGCTATTGTGATTTCCAACATTAGTTACAACATACTTATTTCAACTACTTCTTCTTCTTCTTCTTCTTCTTCTTCTTCTTCTTCTTCTTCTTCTTCTTCTTCTTCTTCTTCTTCTTCTTCTTCTTCTTCTTCTTCCCTCTCTCTCTCTCTCTCTCTCTTTGTACTGGGGATTGCTGCTTCATAGAACTCACCTCAGTAAATCTGCACATCAAATGAGTGAGATGGGAACAAAATTAAGTGGGAGTTTTGGGATTCAAACCCAGATCACTGTGCCCCAGAGCCTATTCACTTTTTTTTTTGGTACCGGGGATTGAATTTAGGGGCATTAAAAATACTGAGTCACATCCCTGGCCCTATTTTGTATTTTATTTAGAGATAGGATCTCACTGAGTTGCTTAGCGCCTCGCTGTTGCTGAGGCTGGCTTGGAACTCACGATTCTCTTGCCTCAGCTTCCTGAGCCACTGGGATTATAGGCATATTACACTGCACCTGGCTATTCACTTTTTTTTTGCCCCCTAAATTTCTTGAAACTTTCCTGTTGCTGTATTTCGGTTTTAGAAATGCAAAATATATATGAGTGAACATTCAGAATAACCTAGACTAGAAATGTCAAGGATGTTGTAAATTTAAATTGTTTGCTTGTTTGACACTGGGGATTAAACCCAGGGGCACTTTATGAGCTATATTTCCAGCCCTTCTTCTGATTTTGTGGCAGAACCTTGTTAGGTGATCGAGGCTAGCCTCGAACTTGCCATTCTCTTGCCTCTGTCTCCTGAGTTGTTTTTCTACTGAAGCAGGTCTGGTTGACAGTTCTAATCTTAAAATCAGAAAGAAACAGGAAGGTGAGAGGGTTAGGTCTTACCTGTTACCTTATATAATGTGGTGGTGGGGGGTGTGTGTCAGAAGATCTCAGTGTGGCTGTATCTCTAGCCTTGTGGCCTCCACCAGCGTGTTCCTTATGCTTTCTGTCTCATAGATGTCTTAGTTGAAAAACAGGTCAAATAATGCAAATGTAAGAACGAACATGGAATTCTAGCTGGGGACATAGCTCCGTGTTAGAGCACATGTGTGAGTTCAATTCCCTGCACTGAAAAAAATAAAGAAATAATGAATATATTTTAGTAAAAGTATACTAATTGACTAAGCCTGTCAATCAATGAATGGTCAGCCAATAAATATTTGTTAAGTGCCATCTACATGCTAAGCACCGGGGGCACACGGTAATAAAGAGTAAGGACAGTGCTGGGTGCACTGGCACATGCCTGTCATCTCAGCAGCTCAGGAGGCTAAGACAGGAGGATGATGAGTTCAAAGCCAGCCTCATGCATTTAGTGAGGCCTTAGGCAACTTAGCAAGACCCTGTCTCAAAATAAAATATTAA